GCAGACGACGCGAAACTGTACAACCGGCTGTGAGTTGAGTTTTAAGAAGTTAAATGTACCACATCATTGTACACAACAATTATAGCATAAGGTTTGTAAACACTGCGTATTACGCAGGCAATAAAGGTGATGCACTGGTTTAATGGCGTAGGAACAAGAAGTCGTATATGACACGAAAGCCACAGGATCGTGTCGTAAACAGATTGTGCTGTGTCCTAGTTACTTCAATATTGATCTACCGCAAAACAAATAGTACTGTCGTACGGGTCATCTGTGAAACGCGTTGTCAAACTCAAATTTGATCATGATGAAGAAAGAACAGCCCGCGATTTGTTTTTACCCGACTGCCAAAGAAGGAGGGTAATGTTTTTCGAGTGTATGTAAGTATGTATGTATGTCTTTTCCTTTGTGACCTCCTGTAGCCTAAACGGCTTGATGGATTTTGATGTATGAGGTATCGTTAGATTTGTCTTGATTACGGGAGTGTCATAGGATACATTTTATCCTAAAAGTCCCACGGGATAAAGACATAATAATATTTTTTCTAAATTTCCCTTTAAAAAAATATGTATGCGGTATCATTAGATTCATTTCAATCACGGGAGTAATTAATATAGGATACGTTTTTTCTCAAAATTCCCACGGGAACATGTTAATTCTGCGTCAACGCAAAGCAACTCATGCGTTAGCAAGCAAAAAGATAGGGCGTGGCCTGGCATGCGGCGCGCGGCGCGGTGCGGAGGGGGATATGCTCGAGTATACAGCCCGAATACGGGCACACGCATAAGGGCACACGTCGTTGACGGTCGTCTCTAAATAGCGATTTTTTCGATACTTAAAATGGTACTTACATATACATAGTCTTCTACATCTACAACATTTTCGTTAAATAAAAACAGCTAAAAAGTTATAAATAAAAAAATTATTATTAAAAAAACAAAATACCCGACTGCACACTAAAAAAAGAGTAAAACAAGCCCCACAATACAAATTTACTGAATATAATTTATAAATGTTGATGGAAAGCATCGCAGGCGGGGACCACCTTGACCGCCACCAACGAAAATTCTGCTAAATGGTGCACAACAGAAATGACTATAAATAAGCCTCTGTTGGTCCCCGCCTGCGATGCTTTCCATCAACATTTATAAATTATATTCAGTAAATTTGTATTGTGGGGCTTGTTTTACTCTTTTTTTAGTGTGCAGTCGGGTATTTTGTTTTTTTAATAATAATTTTTTTATTAGCAAATTTATTACCCGTGTAAGTGAGTCATATTGATAGCTAGCTTGTTCTGCATAAAATAGACTTAGATATTTACTTTTATTTTACACATTAATAAAATACCGCATGTTAATACAATTGTAATATTTCACATTAAGTAGGTCAAAGTGTGATACAGTGTGAAACGTTTCGCAGTCCGGGGGTCAAAGACGCCAAGAGTGTGTTGCAATTCGCGACTGAGATAACTATGAGAGCTAAGATAGTTGGTGAATTGTCTACACAGCTTGTGTGCTTGTGCACAATGCAAGCAGATAAAATAATTCAAATTTCAATTAACTAATTTTTTCACGTGTTAGATGGGATTTTTAGGCGTCTCAAGTACCTATTTGACTTCCCCAAGGGCGACTGTTAACTGGCAATTCCGTATTCGCAAAAGGAGGTCGTTGGTAACTCCCTGCTCTTACAGCGACTCATTTTCATTGAAACTTTTTTCTTTGTGAACTTTTTGCTGAAGCCAACTAGTTGCTAGGAGACTTTAAGAACTCCTTACAGTACTTTATACAACTGGGCTTAATATCACGTTTGAAAGTCTTTGTATCACAAATGTAACTTAATTATAACAGCAAAATATGGATTGAAAACTATGAAACTTATCCAACTAATCAAATTGTTATACATCTTAGTGTCACGTACGAATACTAATCTCATTGTTTTAATTAGGTAGGCACTTTTAAAATACATATTACAAAGCGGAAGTAAAAGTACGAATAGGTATATGTTAAAATTTCTGCAGACTTCTATATTTCACTTCCAGCAATCACACGCTTCCTGTTTGTGTTGATTGATTAATGGCAACATAGTTACTAAAATCGAACTGATTCAGTCTGGTGTATATTCTTACTACATTTAGCCAGGGACATAACAAAATAATGTATAGTTAAATCTAGCCTGCGATACCAAGAACTAGTAAAATCGTTGTGCATGAACAAACACGAATATTACTTGGAAAATCTTATGAATACGCTACGTAGAAAATTTTGGTCGAAGCTTCTAGAAGGGTCTTTGTGTAACGGTTACCTATCTTTGCTTATGATCAATCAGTGTTTTATTGATATCAATTGCAGCTTTGAGGTCAGTGCATATGCGGTTTGTTAGTGTCAAGCAAAATTTATAGGCAAACATTAGTGTACCTACATCTTAATTTATAAGTGGAAGTGCTACGTCATTTATAGATGTAGTTGGAAAGAATAAACATTTCTCAGTAGGCGGTAGGTTCAATGGGATATATTCATATTTAAAAATATACAAAACTCAGGTGTGTAAGGAAGTAAATTTTTTAAAAGTGTTTAGTGGAACTACAATGAGCTACAAAAAATTGTCGTATTTGAACCGCTTTAGTATTGACTAAATATGTGTTTGGTTTCCTTTAGGTCTTTATTACGACATTATGGATTTGGATTATCTTTAAAGTATCTTAATAGTGTTATCTGATTGTAGCATTGCATTAAAGTCTGTAGGTAAAGTGGTCCTTAGTTACAATTTTGTGCAGACTAATGTTTTTTTTTTTAAATAAATAATGAGATCTAATGCAGTTTCACTGTAAGTATAATAACTCAGTATCAGTAGATATAGTAAAAAGAACGGTGCAGATTACGTGCGTGCATATTCGTTTAAGCACTTCAACAAACTAGGCAGTAATTTAAATTGTCGAATGTAACACACACCATTAAAACTTTTTATTTGGCATTTGTTAGTTCTTCAATCAGGGAAATAGGCTACTGTGTTCTTATTCAGTGTTGCGTCAACAATTGCCATTGTTCAATGTTTTTCCCGTAAGTATTCGAGTTCATTAAAAACTATTGTGTCTGTAGCTATCCTGGCAACTGCGACAATATAGACGCATTCAATTTTATAGAACTGGTCTACAGTACTGACTACATCTCAACAATAAAATTGAATAAATACCGTACTTAAAGCAGACCAATCCTACCGTCCCCCAATTTCTCCCGGAATCCAAAATCTCCAAATCCCTAATCCCCAAAAGGTCGGCAACACACTCGTAACTCCTGCGTTGTTGCGGGTGTTCACGGGCGGCGCTGATTGCTTATCATCAGGTAAGGCGTTGGCTCGTTTGGCGTACTATAAAAACACCTATTTAAAACAACGATTTTCATAATGATAATAATATCCAGGCATATCGTATCTTAGGTAGAGGTAGGTATACACATGCGAAAACATTTATTCCGTCAACTTCCAAAGAAGCCTCATACATCATACATTTTCAAATGTTGGAAAGTTTTGTTAGAAACTGTTTTGAATGTTGAGAAACTGATTAAATTGGCTGTCAACATCAATGTTACTAAGTGAAATGGTATCGATTGATAATGTCGAGTAGACACAAGTGTGTTTGTTTTTCATATAAATTGTGATCTCCGCTCATAGGTATGACTATTGAGAGAATAATCAAAACAGATCACCTAGAATATAAATATGTATCTACAAATGTACATCAGAAACACAGTCGAAAGACAATAAATTGTTGAAAATAACAAAGATCTATTATTCATTTAGCATAATGTTATGCAAAGTGTCCATAACTACATATTTCATATCCAATACCGTCGAATCTTAAGGGCACTGGGTACATAAGGCGTGAAAAGGAACGTCGAAGAGTATTTGTTACACTGAACTGGCTCTACCGAGAAATTGAGGAAAAATAACAGCAATTATTGCATAGCAACAGATCATAATCTGTGGAAAGGTTTCTATTTATAGGTAATAAGTACCTACCTACTGATAAATATGTAATTTAGGGATCGGTAATTTGGTTGAAATTTTGTACTGAAAATAAAATAGGTTACTACGACCAGGAGAAGGAACAGAGTGGTTTTTAGTCAATAAGCATAATACTCTCTCTCGCTCCACCAAGACTAGAAGAAGTCATACCTGGCTTACCTACCCATAGTAACATGTTAAAAACCTATTTTTATTGCATAGTACATGTAAACTTGTTACCTATGTCAAGAAAAAACATTTTCTCTAGTTTTGCCATGTACCTAAGCTATGCCAATAGACTATATGGCTTCGGGCCTTTCGCCAAAATTACTGGCTACCGGCCTCTTTGCTTGTGATACAAAACAGCCGAGTTTATCTTAGTTTACTTACAAATCTCTAATTTAAATAACGTTATCTACATGACTCATTAAATTGTGTGCTCTTCTTGCGATTTAGCTTACTTTGCAATACATAGAATGCGGTTGAGGTAACACGTAAAGCTATTTTTTTAAACATGTTTAGTACTGTATGGTTCCTACTTCCTCTTCCTTGACTATACTTATATTAGAATAGGTAAAGTTTGTAAGTTTGTATGTAGGGGTAATCTTTGGAACCGCTGGTCGGATTGCCAAAATTCTTTTACTGATAGATAGCTACAATGTTCCTGAGTGCTATAATAGGCTATAAAACATCAGGCTACGATCAAATGAAGCCGAACAGCGGGTGAAACCGCGCGAGAGTGGCTAGTTATCTATGAATGTGTACTGGCCAAGTATTCGAATAATTACACTAACGTGATGAAGTTAGATAAGATGTGCCTAACATGTGCTCATAATAAATGATACGCCACACCACACAATAACATAATTTAGGTACTTACTGGCAATCTGAGCTAGTGTACAAATATTGGTGCACTAAATAAGGATAATGTAAAATACCGCCACTTTACATTACATATAAAATAAAAATAATGAATAAATTTAAAGAGAATATTCACTTACCTCATACACATTTGGATGCCATACTTTAGTTAAAAATCTAATGGAAGGTGGTGAGTAAGGATAGTCTGGAGGAAATTTCATATGTGCCTGAAACAAAAAACATAATTTAGCGAATATTCATAACTTATAATGAAGTAAAACCCTAAGAGTTCTTTGTTACGGTTTGGATTTGATAGTTATATTTAATACCTTAAAATGGTAATTGAGACTAATAGTTTATTTTCGTCTCGAAATTGCGGCATAAACAAATAGTTTTTGTTTTGAAACTATAATAAAGTTAACAAGTGTGCATCCATCACAAATGTTTCAAACCAAGGAACTAAAAAATATGTTTTACTGTTCCATGGCATCAACAATTTATAATTAATAATTTTTAATTTTCACATAAATGAAGTACCAATTTTATATATTGTTGCATCAAACACTCTTCATATTGTTGCATCACCATTTAATTATTATTTGATCATCAACATTTGAAACTGACTGTATGTGTGACTATAATTACAAGTTTTGTAATGACAGTCAATTATTTCTGTAACTAAGCAGATAGGTAGGTTACATAAGACATGAAATTGCCAATAGATTGGGGAGAAATGCATGCAAAACTAACATGGCAACCCCATTTAGGAGCCAAGTAATGAATTTGAAAAAAATGATTAATTCCTATTTAGTTCTAATTTTGATTTAGGACCCAATATTGCAATGGTCCGAAGTAAATTACTGTGTTGGTGCAACATTAGTACAGGTCTTCTACATTGAGAAGAATACTATTATACTCATGTAGTAAAATTAAAAGGAGACAGAAATCTGTTCAAATATAGAACAATGATGTTAGCTGTAATCAACTGCATAATAAGGAATATACAGGAATAACTATATTTAAATAAGTATTTCTTAAAAATATCGAAATACTTAAATGCATTAAATGATGATGAATATACCTAGTATGTTGAGGCTTTGCTAAGTTTTGCATTCATATTGTTAGTAAACACTTAACACAGATTTGTAATGCTTAATATGAAACCTCTTTAAAAACAGGATTACAAGAAGCAGGACAGGAGATAGATAATTAATAACATAATTACCTAGTAAAGGGGTCTTATTTGTGTTAAACCTTGTATAAAAGTTAAACCATTTTACGATCTAGTGATAACAAGTAAGATAACTACTTTTATTAAGTTACTGAGACCTGAATATAGGTAGGCTACTAATTGTTATTTATTTAATAGTTGACATCAGGGACAGTGGGTAATAAACCTAGGCTCACGTAGGATTCATTGTTTATAAATTAAAAAAAAAAACACTAAAGGCTACTCAAAATTTTAAAAGTTATTCAAGCCTTGTTTCTGAGCTTGTAATAATTATTAGTTACTAAAACAAATACTTGCTTTGGATTTCTTGTATTTTTTTAAATCCATTCATGCTATAAATTGATAAATCCTAAGATATACCTATTTTGTGCTATAGTACATGATTAAACGCACTATAGAGGTGTTATCAAAGCAGTTATCAGTGCTTAATTGCTACTATTGACCTAGTACAAACAAATTTTAAAAACAGATAATAAACAGGTATGTACTGAATTCAAGAAACTAGTTATTGGCCTAAGGGACAAAGGAGTTTTACTAAACCTAACATTACCCTTTTATGTTTCATTAAATATGTTAGTATATCTATTGATCTTTCTTTTGTTTGATATAGATTTGAAAGTTATCACACATCACATGTAAGTATCCTTTGCTGAGCAAAGGCCTTTTCCTAAATGGTGATATTTGAGCATTAATCACCAGTAAAGTCTTCAGCGAGTGGCTGAAGTGGAAGGTGGTTTTAAGCTAATAATTATAAGTCCTGGCTTACTTCGCATAGTTTCCTTCACTGTATGCTAGATCTCACATAAATAATAAATTTTAAAATACCTGTTTATTTCTTTAATAAAGATGTCACACACACTTTAAATGCCATGTGTAGGTGCATGGTATTTTAGACAATAGTTTATGGTATTTTGATACATAAAAATTCACCCCTAAGACCACCCACTGACCATAAGATCTGTCATTAGGATTTGATATCTGTGAAAATGCTTAACCAATCAATTTTATGCAAGTATTTTATGGGGAAAACATGACAAAAAACAAACAATGTAACCAAATGCACCATGGATGAGTATTTTGTTTTCAACAAACATAAAAGCAGTGGTTGGTTAAACATCTAAACAATGAATACCCACATGAAGCCAATAATTTGGACTGTCCCTGTCTCTTTTTTTTTCAGTTTTTAAGTGCAAGTTTTATTTTTTGTATGCAGTGTCAAGTCTTTGGTAATGCAGTTAAGTATTTATGGACTCACCTTGAAATATCCACCTTGATATAACGTGTCTGGAGGGCCGAAGATTGCAACTTCCCATTCAAATAGATTGTCCTCCCCTAAAAGTTTCACTCGGAACCCTTCCACGGGCTCTTCTTGCAAACTCTTATATTCTAAGGCCAAAGCCCTCAGCGCAGAACTGGTCGGGACCGTGTTAGACATTGTCAAGAACTAATTTTACTAAAATCACTATCTAAAAGAGATTCTATTAACATAACACTGCGGAACTCTCCTCGCGGTCCACGTATTCACGAGGCATTTCAACTTGAGTCACAACAACAACGAATGAGGAATTTTGGTAAACATAGCGCCAGTGTAGCTTACGGATTTATGATTCACACACTTCAAACGCCAATACTGTATTAACTTGCACAGTAATAAACGATGAAAAATGAGCGAATGAACAGTCCAAACTACACGGTGATTATTACAACAATGAGAAAGCAACGTCCAAACAATCGCGATCCCAAGGAAAACGGCTGCGTGGTACAGCTGCTGCCTGAGTTGCCCGACCGAATATTGTAGAACAGCTGTTATTTTATTTCTGTGCTTGATTGCGCAGTGGCGTGACGCACGCGGCCATTTATCGACTTTTGCAACTACTACTGCCCTCTAACAATGTGATCTCTACATTAATTTACGGACATTTTGAAGACAAAGTTATATTTTTTTTTACTAGATGGCAGCACCATAGAGTACTATTTTCCTGTGGTTTAAGAAATAACTTTTTGGATGTTATCGCCATCTAGCGAATAATTATTCGAGACTGTTTAACTTTTTTTTTTGTTATTTTACTAGATGGCAGCCCAAGTTATATTTTCTGTTTTTCGCACAGGTTTTAAGTAAGAACCTGATTTACGCTGTTGGATGAAACGAAAAATCAAGAAATGTCGATAGAATGGTAGGTAGGTAATCAGAATCTAAGATTTGTAAGGGTCTTTTCTTATGGGGGTCTCCGGGGTGTTGTATTATGTTTCTTACAGGCGGATTGTAGCTTGTGTGGTTTTGGTGAGATAAGAATATGAGAGCGTCCCTGTAATTCATAAAAAAACTGAACCTGACGGTTCTGCAGTTTTGCCTTTTTGCCTATGACCATGAGAAAAAGGTGTACCTAAGTATCTAAAAATATTCAATAAAAGGTAAGCTAAATATAATTTTCAACACACTTCCTCATAAAGTGACTCTAATCCCATGGCAATAGGCACATAATGAGACCTATATTTTTTATATTTTTAGTTGAGTTGAGTACACTTGCGCTAAAATGCTAGGTATCCGCGAAAAGCCAAAAAAAGGAACCTCATTTTTAGTCTATGGCCGATACGGGTTCATGAAAACTTGAAAAGGAACTAATTTATTAATTTTCCCGCCATTACGAAACATTTTTCTCATTATTTATGGAGATTATTTATTAATTTCTGCAAATACAATTTATAAGGGAAATTATTTATTTATGTTGTACGCTAAGCTCATAACGTTATGAAAAGTTTTGTTGTTAGCTCCTTAAATTCTCGCCTGACCGCTGGGCCTCAATGCGCCTCAGCGAGCGGTAATCACCAATAGGTATTACACATTTGTACCTGGTACCTTTGTACTTACTATAATACTATACTAAAGTAAACAATAGGTATGCATTTACAGCCTTGCTAGAGTGTTAATTTTATTTAGTCCTACAACTAAGCAGTTCTAGTCCCGGACTTCCAATATACCTAAGGTACGTTATTTAGGTGGGCACTTCCAATAAAGTGGGCGTTGTTTAAACCAGTTCAAATAGAATGAGATAGTGAAGTAACTTTTACATTAATATTTAAAATAATTAGTCAACTGCCTCAAAATAACGGTTTAAAGCAGAGATTAAGTGTATATTGGTGAGCTAGTTGCATTCAGACAAGACAATTGGTCCGTGGGCGCGTGATTCAAAGACTACTCGCCCACCCACTGCCTTGTATAGGCAAAGGCAACGGGCCTTGCGCAACCCACGTCTGGCTCAGGCATTAATGCCTTTACTTGATCAGAGTTGGCCATCGATAATTCGGTGATACTTTTTACACAATTATTGAAACTTATATTTTTGTTTCAGAAAATCTTGTTGATCGGGCTGATTCGAACTATCAATGATTATTGAGGGAAAGGCCCAGTATTGTAATTTGCGATTTTTAAATTTCTCAATCCTTAAATTTTTCTGGTGCCCTGTATTTGAACTATTTGTTTGGTTGTTGAATTGGGCAGTGGACCCGCACGTAGAAGAAATTCACAAGCATTTCTGTATAAACAAAAATAATTTAAGTACTAAAATGTATGCACGTTCATAACTGTAGTTTGACTGTAGCCAATTGAATAATTCTTAAATGCTGTACCTAGATATCTACTGTCCGTTATTGCTAAGCGAATCGAAGGTTTTATGAAGTTCGATAGAATTACCGGGAACATCGGGAAATACACCCAGTCTTAGCTCGGGAATATTTATTTATATAACTTGATATTCCCGTGCCCTATCTGCCTGTCGTTTTGAATTAGCCCCTCTCTTTAGCCAGTCAGTTCTATGAAACGGGTGGGGAGGGATGATGATACTTACAGCAGAAATAAAAGATGATTCATACATGTCCTTAGTTTATGCTCTTGGCCGAATTTTGTTCTCGAATATTCCCAGATATCGAGTCGTCAAAATATCTCGAACCTTTCAAAATAAATAGTCTCAATAGTTTTAAGAATTAAGTCGATAAGTTTTTCCTTATAAGAACATGTTTATTCAAATGGCACCAACCAGAGTTTGTATGACCTACCTACACAGCGTTAATCAGCTTCATAACAAATTACAATTAAACCTTACTTGGCAAACCTACAACCACAACTATAGGTGTATATATTATGTTTACATAAGAATAATAAATGATTCACTTGAACTCGACCCATATATTTTTTCCTCTTATTTACAGTGACTGGACGACGTCTTGCGAGATTTTGAACAAATGCCTATGTTCATTAAATAAAAATAAAACTACAGTCATATAAACATGTAAGTATATAACTATTTAGGTACTCCAGATTTTCATCAAGGGGTCAGTAGGTGGGTAGTGAAGCTATTGCCATTTTTTTGTGAGGGGAAAATCATCAAGTGTTTCTCTCCAGGGTAAGACGAGAGGGAGTGTCAGACTCCTACCCTACTCTAGGTCGAGGCCGCGGAACCTTATTTTACTAGTTTAACTACTATTACAAGCCGTTATGATCAAGTGATAACTAAATGTTAGGCACAATAAGTTATTCTTGCTACCGAAACCAAAACCTAGAAAAATTCGCAAACTATCACCATAATTTGCACAGATTCACATTTTTCATTTGACGAAATATCGAATTACTTTTGTTTGAGTGTAATAGTAAATGCTCTGTGTTTGCTAAAAATCCAGGTCATTCGAATGCAGTGCTTGGGCTCCGATCGAAGCGCATTGCATCGCTCGCTGGGCCGACTACCGAATCTGGAAGTTGCACTGCACCAAAATATTATGCAAATATCTGTGTCACATAACCAGCCCGTGCCTACCCAGAGATCAGTTCACTTATTCATTAACATAGAATTGTGTGGGTAGAGCATAGCCTTATGTTTAAAGATGGCGAACAATATTTTTATGAATGAAAACATGTCTAAAAAATAAAAAATGTTTCTTTGCTGGTAACGCCTTATTTCAATATTTTTATAACTTATTAATTTCATTAACAGAATTTGTATATTATTTTCGTCTGAATTTAATATGTATACTTATCCACAAAATATTGCTTTTGCAAAAACAGGAGATAATAAAGAAAGTATACATAGGTAAATATCTATAGTTCGTAAATCTTATAATGGTTAAATATTTCTTGTACCTATCACATAAAACAAAATCTGACCCTGTGCTACTAATGGCTATGATTTTCATGAATATAGAGAAATGTATAAAAGTAGGTCATTTTTACGTAAGTTACCCACTTCGCGCTCGCTTTTCATAGGATTACCGTCGATACTCGCCTGAAGCCATGTAAGTCTAGTATATTCAGAGATTCCACAATCACGAGTCTTTCTACAAGTACGGAACTGCCTAGATATGTTACTGAAAATATAAAAATTAAGTATAGTAGTGTCTTAACTATTGATGAATACTTAGTGCGCAAGTCTCTACTGAAAGACTATTCAATATTTTTTATTCATTGAAAGGTGGTGCTTATGTTGTGTTGTGGCTGATATTTAAAACATCAGTGGCTAGCTAGCTACTTGGAACTTATCGATCTGTGGGATTTGTTCAACAATACAGTCAGATCGCGGCGATTTGATATTTCTGTTGATCGGTTAATTACTGTACCGCGCACTTGGTGACTAAGGTTCGTGATTAAGTAAGCAGTGAGTTTAGCAGCTTTTACGCCATTTTTGGTATGAGTCCAACAGTGAGATGTAAGCGCTTACGTGTCGGAGAACTCTGGTGGGCGCGATGCGCGGCGTCAAGGTGTGAGGGGCGCGCACGCAGACTACCACAATCCGCGAGTCAGTTGCGAGGAGCGCGCGCGCACTCTGCGACACACGAAACGAACGACTCTCGCGACCAATATTTACTTTGTACATGGCAAATGTTTGACGATATTTATATTATGTGATTATTTTTATTTAAAAAATATATTTTAACGTGGTTTTAAGAATCTCCTTTAAATTAATTTAAAAGTTTACATGTTAATAAGTTACTTTGTGGGACCAAAATGACGATAAAAAACAAAAAGACTAAACAATCAAAAACATCAGAAGTGACCTCTTCTGGAAGTGCATCGACTAGTGTTCAGAAGACAAGTTCAACTACTTCGGTGCAAAGCAGTAGCAGTACGGTGCAGAAGGTCAGCTCGTCGGGTAAGAAGGTTCGCTACATCGAGGTTAAGGTCGAGGAGGATGACCCGCTTATGATAACCGATATTTCGGACCACTCTTCAATAGCCGGCTCGACTATATCAGAGCATTACAATAGCCACCCGCATTATATTATTACAGAAGCTCCTTCTATTAGTGACCTTTCGCAAACCCGAGCGCTGGAACATAATGTGAGTGATATGGCACAGTCAACATCGGGAGAATATGTCTCCAGTTCGGTCCTTCAGGAGTCATCCTCGTCCCATCAACAGAATTCTAAAACCGAAACATTCCAGACTTCATCAACTTCTGTTCAGCAATCAGGCTCTAGTCACAGCCAAACATTTGACAGAACGACTGATTCCTCGGCTCCGAATCAAACGCTTAATACAGCCTTCATCGATAACTCTTCGACTAATGCTCACAACTCCAACACGTATATTAAACGATCTCAAAATGCAAACGCCTCCAATTCTTTTCTCCAATCGGAGCGTGAGAGTTTAGTTAATCAATCAAAATCGACTACTAAGGATCAACAAAACATAAAACAAAATGAGAGGGTGACTTATCGCAATTCTCCAGAGCCCTCTCAGAGGACCCAAACGGTTCGATCGGATTCATCTAACTTTTACGGAGGTGAAGGCAGCTTGGATAAGAGAGGTAAAACTAAAGAATATACTAGTTCTTCGCAAACAAGTGAAACTAAGAGCAGCAACGTCACAAAATCCTCATCATCCTCGTATGTAG